CCTTTTGACTATAGTAAATAGTGCTTCTATGAATTTTTATCATTTATTTATTTATTTATTTATTTTGTGGTGTAGGGGATTGAACCCAGGGCCTTGTGCAAGTGAGGCAAGCACTCTACCAACTGAACTCTATCCCCAGGCCTGCTATGAATATTTGATATCTGTATTTGCTTGAGTTATGTAATAGGGAAATTAGTCCTTGGCTGGTGCAAATATTGCTTCCTCAAATCACCATTTTATCTTTGACTTTGCTTATGGTGCTGTTTGCCAGGCAGCATTTTTGGGAAAAAACAAAAAAGATTATGGAGTTGAATTTGCCAGACTCTTTTGGCTTTTGAGTTTTGTGATACAGTTAGGAAGGCCAACCTTAAACTTAAAGTTGTAAAATGTTTCTCCTATCAAAGCTTCCACTTATCCATCTCTTGTCCAGGGATTCAAAATAGCCCTCCTTGCCTCCAGGGTTACTGTGGGGACCAAATAAGACAAATGTTATAAAAGGACTTTACAAAATATAAAGCAATATATACACATGAGACATGTCATCCTCACTATCAATTGAATCCAACTGTGGCACTAACTGACTGAGTTGCCTTGTTGCTTTCATTGTGCAGAGCTGAGAAGTGAAGGGCAGAATTATTCACTGAGGGGGCTGAGGATGCATTAGTTAGTAGAAACATGGAAAAATCTCACAAAATTAGTCATCTTGAGGGTTGGAGGGTGTTTCTATTTGACCAGAAAAATAAAATTGCTTCAACCAAAATCTATTCTAGTCATTCTTCTTTAAGTGGAGTCTTTTTTTTTTTTCCCCCTTCCTTACCAGGAAAAAGAACCAGTTCAGTGAATTTGTCTATTTAGCTGTAATTGTAATTTAAGCCTTACTAATCAGTGGTCATTTATGATGTGTTTTCATTCTATTTTTAATCCCCATTTTTAATGGAAAACTTTAGATTGAACATTGTATTGTTCATATATACAGTGAAAAAATATTTTACATAGAGTGAAAAAATATATTAATGTTTGATAGTTATAATTCTTACAACTGTTCCCTGAAATAGAATTGTGCACTGGGTAGTTCTTTAGGCTCTGGTATTGGTCAGACCTGGGCTTAAAAGCAATCAGTTTCTAGCTAGTTATGTGATCTGGGGCAAATTATTTCTCTACTCTGTATCTTCAAATCAAGGATGATTATAGGACCTGACTGACTGGGTTGTTGCAAGAAGTCAGTGATAAAATCTGTATGGAGGGAGGGCTCGATAAATACTAGTTCTTAGATTATAACTCAGGAATATCTAAAAGAATTCAGGAAATGAGCCTGAGGGAATGGAATATTCCTTTCGGGGTTAGGGGGCAGGAGGGGCACAGGTGAAATCACATGGCAAAGCCTTCCCGTATTGTGCAGATCACACTTATTTGCAGAAAATCTGGTTTCTGTTAGTACCACGTGTAGAAATAAACATGCACCAAGAAGCAAGTGGCCATGCAGAGGGAGTTGTTGCATCTGGGGGACTGGAGTGATCTATAGAGGAAGGGAAAAGGGGGAGGCCATGGTGCCAGGGGACCTGCCTACGGCACTTACCTCTTCTTTAAAAAAAAAATTATTATTAGAGCTTTATAGTCATATATAATATTTGGGTTCATCCTGACGTAATCACACATGCATGGAATTCGATTTCAGTTCATGATCACCTCCTTTTCTCTCCCATCCTCCCTCCCTTCCCCCGTTCTTCTTCCTCTACTCTACTAGACTTCCTTTCACTCATCTATTTATTAATATTTGGTTGGTTCTTTTGACTTCTAYAGAAAGGTGAAATTCCCTGTGGTATGTTATGCCCATAACATGATTTTTAAAGAATTTTCTCCATTTCTCTCCTTTCCCATTCCTCTACTTTGCCCCTCGATCTTCTTCTATACTATTGATCTTCCCTGTATCTTTATGATATCCTATTCTTCCTTCCTCCTTTATTTTACTCTCCCTTCCACATATGAGAGAGAACATTTGTCCTTTGAGATCCTGAGTTTGGCCTATTTCATTCAGCGTGATATTCTCCACTTCCTCCATTTATCACCAAATACCATAATTTCATTCTTTATGACCGAGTGGAATAAAGAATGTGTATATTCTTTGTGTATACCACAATTTCTTAATCCACTTGTCTACAACAATTTCTTAATCCATTTGTCTGTTGATGAGCATCTGGGTTGATTCYATAGTCTAGCTCTTGTGAATTGTGCTGCTATAAACATTGAGGTGGCTGTATCCCTATAGTATGCTGATTTTAGTTCTTTTGGGAAAAGGCTGAGGATACTCACCTCTTCTCAGGGGCAGAAGATTTGAGATRATGTGGGATCACTGTGCACAGTGATAGATTTCCTGGGGGACAAAACCTTTTTCTTCTTTGTTCTCTTCCCACTCCTGTGTCTGTGGAACCTAAGCCCTGGTCCTTGGCCCAACTTGGTTAGGGCCTAAAACAGAAATGACATTCTTGGAACTTCTGCTCTCTGGTCAGGCACTTTAAATCTGTGGGCACATTGGATCCTGTACCATGGGTGAGATCACTGTCATTTGACAGGTGGGTAAACTGAGGCTCAGAAAAGGTACAGAAGCCACCAAGACCCCACACACAGCTGTGATGTGGGAGAGCAAGAATATAAATCATTATCCATCTTACTCCAGAATCTAGCTTCTTCCGACCTTTCAGTACATAGCTCTATACCCTACTTTTTTAGTTTCMTGTGGCTTTTTATGATATTTCTGTTACTCAGTTCCCTACATGTTAGTCTCTTAGAAATATTTGTGGATTTTAAATTTTCACCATGGTGAGGAGAGCTGACATTTACTGTGTTCCTGACACCAGTGGCACAAGCAGGTTAAGTCACCTGCTCAAGCTCTCATGAGCTTGAGGCTCATGGCAGAGCCAGGAAGGAATCCAGTTTGTCACTTTTCAAGGAATATGGCATTAACTATCCTCTGCTTTATTTTGAATCTAGGCTTGAGTCAGAGATGCTAATCTCTGAGCATATCTTTTTCAGGTGACATATGTGGCTTCTGCATAGCAGAGGGCCCAAGCATGCCCCTGGGAAGGGTGAGGCAGGAGGATGTGGGCTATGGCATCTGTTTATGAACTCTGTGACCTCCTGTCTCTGGGCACAAAGCTATAATAAGCTTTATGATTCATCAGTTGGACTTGTCACTGCTCTGAGCAGATCCTGTGCTTTCCCTCCTGTGGGCCTTGGCTCAGGCTGACCACCCCATAGGAATATCCTGTTCCACCGCACTCCTTTCTCCATTGCCTATCTGGGGACACCCATTATAGCTGCCACCTCCCCTAGGAAGCCCCCGGGCACTGGATAATCTATTCAGTTCCGAGGCCAAACCAAATCAGGTATTCTACACTCAGAGAAAGACCAATGGAAGCCTATATTTATTTTGAGAAGTTTGTGAAAATTTCTTTCAGGGGACAATACATGTTTATGACAATCTTACTATGAAATTCCAGTAATCAGTGACCCTATAGTGTTTGATTCCATTTTTTTAATATGTAAATCTTATTCTACCTGAATTGCCTGCAAATGCATTTGCTTTTCCTCAAAGATTTATGGTGGAAACCTGGAACATTTCCCCAGGTGCAATCTGGTTGGTCTGGAATGCTAGTGACCTTGGGCAAGTCATTTCCCATAATTCCAGCCTCTACTTATTCACAAGGCTATTTATATCTGTTAGTTACTTATACACAATTTATACCCTAGGATGTTGGGGTCACTCATACTTGCTACCATTCTTTGAGTGCTTTTCCATGTGCCGGGCACTGTGCTAAGATTGGTTTTGCATTCTTACTTGATCCTCCAAAGAGCTTCCCTTTTACTGTTGTCTCCTATCCTGCCATATTTCAGCGCCATAGCCCTTATCGTTTTCTATCGTATTATATCATTTGCTCTTTGAGTACATTTTCTGTCTTCCTGGGGCTTCTTGCCCTGCATAGCTCCATTGGACACACCACTCACAATATATTTGGCTCTAGATGTTGTCACCAAAAATATGAGTATTAATAGTAGTAACTCCCCAGCGATTGTGTGATGTGGAGACCCGTGAGCTACAGAAGGGCAGGTTTTTTTTTTTGTTGTTCTATTTTGATCATTGCTGTATCCTGACCTGAGAAGGGTACTGGACCCAGAGTAAGCTTTCAGTAAATATTTGTTGAAAGAAAGAGGACCCAGAGGGGCTGGGGATGTGGCTCAAGCAGTAGCGCGCTCGCCTGGCATGCGTGCGGYCCGGGTTCGATCCTCAGCACCACATACCAACAAAGATGTTGTGTCCGCCGAGAACTAAAAAAAAAATAAATATTAAAAATTCTCTCTCTCTCTCTCTCTCTCTCTCTGTCCTCTCCTCTCTCACTCTCTCTTTAAAAAAAAAAAAAAAAAAAAAAGAAAGAGGACCCAGAGAGAGCTTGTGTTACCAGCAAAGAAACTGAGGCTAAACGAGTTAGAAATCTGCCAAATTCAACAAACCAAGGACCTAGCTGTGCCTGTTTGCAGCCTTGATCCCAACAGCTTTGCAAAGCTGGGTGTCCCAAAATCCTGGCATCATTCTGCAATCAAATATGGCTTGACAAATATTAATGCTCTTCCCTATGTGTATGGGACCCTCTGCTAGACTCTTGGGTGGAGTAACATACTGTCATAAGATATTGATTTGAGAGATTGGATTAAATTGCACACTGAAAAGAAAAGGAGTTTGCTTTTGGGAGAAAAACCCTTAACCCAACTGCTAATAGTTGGAGTTGGCAGGAGCCACTCAGGCCTTCCCAGACTGATCCCTTTTCTCTTTTTCCCTGCCTCCTTCCCTTTTGTGAGCGTTTCTTCCCCTTTTGCTTGCAGTGAGTTCTGCTCTCCTGTAGGCTACAATGTGTCAGTTGTTATAAAATCCGGGAGGCGGAGTCTAGTGACGAGGGCGGTGGGGGAGAGCTAGGCCAGCCCTGCAGGGCGAGCAGTCCAGCCGTGGGTTCACCGGAGCTTAAGCGTTGCAGCAGGAAAACTTCCATCTCGCTCTCCTGGCTTTGATCCTCATTGGACATCAGACCAGAGGCGCCCAAGGAAGGGAGGATGAGAGATGACCGGCCCTCTGGCAACCTGACCATCTCCTTAGCAGAGCCTCCCAGAGCGAGCTGGGGACTGCCTGCACGACCCAGGAGGCGCCGCGCCTCTCAGTAGATGTGTGTGTGTGAGTGAGCGAGTGTGTGTGCGTGCGAGTGAGGGTGTGTGTGTGAGTGTGGATGCATGTGTGCACGGCAGGATTGTGTGTGAGCGTGTCTGGATGGGTGTGCGCGTGCATGCGTGGGAGAGTGTGTGTGTGTGAGAGAGGTAGTGTGAGTGCTCTTGATTATTATTTTTTCGTGGGGGAGAAAGATCTTGGAAATCTGGGGCAGGTTACCGTGCTCCTAGGGTGATTCTTCTTTTGCAAGAAGAGCTGAGGAGAGCAATCTACTAGAGCCCAGGAGAAGGATTTTTACCGCTGTTCTACAGTGGAGTAAAAGAGATTAGCCCCAAACCTGTGAATTCGACCAGAGCTGTGTGATTACCAGGGCTTGAGAGAGGACTCCCGAAGAAAAAGAGAAATAAATCAAACAGCCTGTCAGTCCCTTTGGCCACGTCGGAAGATGTCATCTCAAACTAAGTTCAAGAAAGACAAAGAGATCATTGCCGAATATGAAGCCCAAATAAAAGGTGAGACGTGGGCTGAGACTTTTCCTTCTGCTCCCTGTTCCCTTTCTCTCACTGTGCCCCCCCTTCCTCCCTGCCATCATGAAATGTTGTTATGCATCAATAATCTTATTGTGAGAAGGAACAGTGGCAGCCGCACAAGTCCAGACTGGTTTCAACTGCAGATAGCGCTGGGCTGGGAGTGTGGAGTAGAGGAAGGACAGCAATCTCTGCATTGCAGGTGTGTGAGGAGGATCCTACGCCCGACTTCAGGAGTGTCGCGGATACTCCATCATCTTGGTGGTGACATGTCACTCTAAGGCCATTTTGACAGTCACCATCTCCTCCCTTTCCCCGCCTTGGTAAAAGCCCCTTAATATCGATGTATATATATATTTTTCCGACCTTCCCCTGCCCCYTTGGATTTTGTTGTTGGTGGTTTTGCCTCATCCTCTTTCTCTGGGTTGGAATCCACATGCATGTGTACTGGGAGGCAGCATCTTTGGGCGGCCCTTCTTTGTCGGTGTCTCTTGCCTGGCCTGGGTTGCCATGGATTAGCTGTTATGGGCTGTATTGATCCAGACTAATGCAGGCATTTAGGCATAAAGAGAGAGCTCSGTGCAGAAAATGCATTAGCTCGCAGTGTGCAGCCCAGCCACTCTGGGCACAGCATTTAGGGTCATCAGCTTTGGTTCCAAGCCAACACCTCAACGTGCAATTTGGGTTGGTAGGCGCTGCCTTACTTCCATGGTGCCAGGGAAGCCTGCTGGGAGAGCGAGATGACCTCTGGCTGCTGGTTCCAGCTTTGGTGCCATGGAGTACACATTTCTTTCAGGAGCCACTCCTTCAATCCGTGCTAGCTGGGAGAAATAGGAAAAGAGACACAATCGCACAGCTCAACGATTCTGCAGGCKGGCAGAATTGTCATTCAGGCCACCCGGGGGCTTCTCCCATCCTCACGGTAACTAAGCGCAGCTTTGGAAAGGAAAGCCTGAAAGCTCCATGCACTGAGCTCCCCCTTCTCAGTGACTGTGCCTTAAGAGAAATCCCGGCTGTGCCTTTTGGTGTCCCTGTTCTTTCTAGTTGTGGTTCTCCTAGCTTCCACTCAGGGTGTGTTGTGATCTCTCACAAGAGATTAACACTCATCCTCAGTGGATGCTGAGGCCTGTTTTTGAGGTTACGTAGGGACTGTTGAGCAGGTTCGGTCTTCGGTGCTCAAAGGAACTGAGGTTGCCACACCTACTTATAGGTGCTGCTTYACTCAGAGAGACTCAATGCCCAGGAAGTCGAGTGGCTTCCCTGGGAGCAACAGAAGGCWTCGGAGCTGCCATCCAGGCTTCAGATGCCAGGGAAACTTTGGGAGGGGAGTGATCTCCAGGGGAGGGCTTTGATTTTTCCCTGTCTTTTTTCTCTGAGTTCTAGTCAAACCTGGCATGCTAATCATCTCTGGGTAGACCTTAAGGYAAAAGGAACAGAAAACACTCCTCTTCCCTGGTTGCCTCTTTCTTAGTTTTCAGTTCATTATCAAAAACAGTGACTGAGAATGTTTTAGCCCTGCTAAAAATTTAGAAACAAATCCTTTGGTGGTCAGGGATTTGAATTCATCTGACAACTCAATGCAAAAGCCTAGTTTCAGTCTATAGTCAAGGGAGCTTTTTTGTTTGTTTGTTTGTTTTTGGATATTGGGGATTTGGGGATTGAACCCAGGAGTACTCTACCACYRAGCTATACCCGCAGCTCCTTTTTATTTTATTTTAAACTTGCTAAGTTGCCAAATTTGGCCTAGAGCCTGTGATCCTCCTGCTTCAGCCTCCTGTAGCTGCCAGAACTACAGGCCGTACTATGGTGTCTGACTAGCAGATATGTTTTATAAGACTAAGTTGGCCACTGATTATTTTGTCCCCATGAAAAATGCCAATGTAGAGAAAGGGATGTTGTGTTTGGACAGTTTGGATTTTGTTAGCATCGTCTGGTAGGAAACATGCTTATCTCATTTTTAAAGAATTGCTTCTACATGGGCCAGTCAACTTATAATTGAGGATCAATGAAGCACTAATTGCTCTAACTTTTTTACTTTTTATCTTTCTCCTTTATTTTAACAACTAATTAGCAAGTACCAGGTAATGTGTTTCATCAGAAAATTTGTCCAAATGATTTTGTCTTTAAATTTATCTGCATTATGCTTGAAGGAATTTAATTCTTTTCTTTTAGTGTTGACAACCTCAAGACAGATCAGGATACTGCTGTGCCCGAAACCCTCTGAAATATTTTCTTTCCAAATTCTGTTTTGTTGGCTTGGGGTATATCTCAGTGGCAGAGTGCTTGCCTAGCATGTGCAGTGCCCTTGGGTTCCATCCTCATCACTGCAAAACAACAAAAAATTCTGTTGSTTCATCATTATAATTAGTGATGTGTGTACAGAAATCAGTGTGCATAGTTTCTAAACACATCCCCCACCCCCAAACATCACTCCTCTTGGCCCACCCAATGTTCAGGATGGCTAGTTTGAGCTCAGTTTCAGAAATGAGGAAACTGAGGCCCAGGGACATTCAATGACTTGTCCAAGGTGGCAAGGCCAGTTTATTCCCAGGCTTAGTGTTCATTGTTAGCCTGAACCTGAAGCTGCCCCTTGAAGGATTGATGTCAGTAGCAGATGGCAGTTTTGTGGTGGCGACTGCCTGCCTCTTGATTGAGTTCCATTGTTTACCCTCTTGCTTTTGTTGCTTGGCTCTGAAGAACATTTGAGCAATGACCAAAAATAATGCCTGCTGCCAGTTGCCGTTCTTCCTGGTATCATTTGGCCATTTTGGCACAAATAGTCCAGCCCGTTAGACAGACTTTGTATCTTGTGATTTTTACAAGGGGAACTTTTGATTTTTAAAAACAATGTTGATTTCTTTTTTAAAAAAATATTTATATTTTAGTGTTTTTTTTTCTTTTGCGGACACAATATCTTTATTCCATTTTTATGTGGTGCTAAAAATTGAACCCAGTGCCTCATGCATGCTAGGTCAGCACGCTACCACTCGAGCCACATCCCCAGCCTGATGTTGATTTCTTTGTAGATTTATCCTCTGTCTCTTTTTGAAGCAATTACCAACTCAACAAAGGAGAATGTTTTAAGACAGCATTTTCTTTGTTTTAAAAAAAAAATTTAAGCTCATGACTTCTCTTGCCTCATCAGATATTTAAATCTTTGATTTGGTATCTGCAAAGTAGTAGTGAACCACATGCTTGCTTATTTCCAGTGATGGAGAACTCAGCATGTTCCTACCCCACGTATTCTGTCTGGCTCATGTGAGCATATTTTTCTTATGTTGCGTTAAATATTTCTCTCAACCGCCTATTGGTTCTGTAGTTACTTCTCCTTGGAGCTTCTTAGAACAAGACAGATGCTTTCCCCCCGAGATTCCCCAGTGGGTGTTTGGAACCTCTGATTATAGCCCCTGACTATGACTGACCTCATCACTTGCTTCTTTAAGATAGTTGACTACCACTTACCATCTTCATTCTCTTTTGGATTCGCTGCATCCTAGGTTGCAAATCYCACTATCTTTGGTGCTTGGCAGATAGAATAAATGAGTGAAGCTGGCCAATGAGATGAGTTGTRGCAGTTGGTCTACCACTTCACTGATAGCAGTAGAAGAAAGGGTAGTGACAATTATGGTGGACCTGAGAGCACATGTCCTGTCTGAATGGTCAGTCATACTTGGGTTTAACTAGATGCTGCCATTTAGAAATATAGGCCCCACCAGATCTTTCAGATATTCAAATGCCAGTAATCCAGAAGAGAGTTTCATGTTTTTAGAAAGGTTTTGCCAAAAGAACCTCCAAAAGAGCTTACTATCAGTATCTTCTTTTTAGAGTAGCACTAAGGTCTAAATGTGATTTTTCTAGACATGATCAAAGAAAGAAAACTATCATCTCTTTATGCTTTCTGTAATACTTCCATTAACATAGCCCAAGGGTTGAATTAGCCCTTTTTGCTGCTCATTCCTTATTGCATCACATATATTATATATTATTTCTTTAATCTACTAGGCTAGGAGTCTTGTCAGGGAGAATAAATYGAAATGAATTTAATCTGACTTGTTCTTGGAGACCCTGTACTGGTTCCAAATGGAGCTTGCTTCCTATGCTAGGTACTTATATGTGTCCCTTTACAAATCTGTTCAAGAACCTTGCTTGACAGTGACATCATGTTGCCTTCTCAGGAACTGGCAAGCTGTAACTTCTTTCCTCTTTTGAAAATCAGAACAACATTTGCCTRTCTCCAGCTTTTTGGCTCATGTCCTGTTCTCCACAGTTCCCTCAAAGATCACTGATAGTGTGTGGTGATCTTATTTGCAGGCATTCTCAGTACCCTGGCTTCTCCTTCATCTTGCTGCCAGACAAAATGGTCTGTTCTGCATTTATTCAGAATTCCTATTTTTATTTCAGCATAATAGAAAATTGAAGTAGAAATGCAGTGACTGATTTTAGTATCTTTTTTAAAAATTATATATCCATACTAAGTTTGATCATCTTTTTAATAGCAAAACTTTAGAATTTGGGGGAAGAAGAGCAGGGTTTGAGGAAGATCACGGAATATGTTTACTCATTCATTCATGGGTTTATTTAGCAAACACTGATTTGTACTTAGTGATGAGTTTTGTGAGAGATGCAAAGTAAGAGACATTTGTTGCTTCCTAAGAGTTTTCTTAAACTGGGGCATGCCTGTAATTCCAGTGACTCAGGAGGCTGAGGCAGGGGCATTGCAAGTTTGAGGCCAGCCTCAGCAACATATGAGGCCCTATACAACTTAGCAGACCTGTCTCAAAATAATAAATAAAAAGGACTGGGATGTGGCTTAGTGGTTTAAAAAAAGGGGGAAGGGGAAGACAGAGATTTCTTAGAATATAAGAATTTCTTATATTTCTTAGAATATAAGAATATTTATTCTTATAAAATAAAAGAAGGAAATTTAAAAAGAAACAAATGAAAATCGCAAAGTACAGAAAACTTCTAACTGATCACTGGAATGA